CGATGAAGATGGGCACCACTAGCAGAGCGCCGGCGCCTATGGGGAGGTAGGCGAGGCCAGCCACACCCGGTGAGAGACCGTAGAGCTTCTGGAAGATGATGGGGAAGGCCTGGAAGGACATGTAGAAGATTGTGTATACTAAGGCCAGGTAGGCGCACGTGCAGCTGACGATGGGCTCGAAGATGATCATGCGTACGGGGCGGGTCAGGACGACGGTTGCGATGTGCTTGAAGTCTGTGCTCTCCATCTCGCGGGGCGCGATGACGGCGGCGGAGGGGTCTAGTTTGCGTATTTTTCGTGCTCGTCGGAGGAGCAGGACGGGCGCGTAGGTCTCGGGGAGCAGGAGGATCGGGATGAGGGTCAGGCCGGCGTAGATGAGGGCCACCCAAAAGGACCAGCGCCAACCTATTGTCGTAGAGCAGAAACCGGACACGATCGGGGCGAAGAGAGGGCCGAATGTGGTTGTCTACGAGGTTTTAGCAAAGCTTCAAGAGAGTGAAATCCGGGAAAGTTGCAGGGATGACTTACGACCATGAAGGCTGTCATGGCACGGCCGCGGGTCTCGGTGTCACCGTAGATATCTGCGAGGATACCGGCCACGATAGCGATGGGTGAGCTGGCGAATACGCCGGTGAAGAAGCGGAAGAAGAGAAACGCAGGCCAGTTGGGTGCGAGGGCGCAGGCCATGGTCCAGATGGTGAACATGACAAAGGTGACAATGGTCAACATTCTCCTGCCGAGATGCTCGCTGAGAGGTGCCCAGACTACAGGCCCGAAGACGTAGCCGATGAGAAAGACGGAAATGGGCAAGACCTGCTGTTGCTCGTTTGTGATGCCCCATTCGGCGGTTATGAAGGGTATCGCGTTGGATGGGAGGGCCGAGCCCATTGTGCTGTTGATGACTTGCATCATGGTTAAGCAAAGGATCAGAAACTTTTTGGTCTATAGCTCGTTAGTGACTGGATCTGTAGATATTAAACTAGAGCAATGTACATGTGACCAGTTGTACGGGTTCTCTGGGTCACTGTCATCCCAAGATATTATCGTTGGCTCATCTTCGTCGCTTGATGAGTTGGGGCTGGCCATCTTCTTTTCGTCCAGACCCTGCTCTTCGGCACGAGTCTCATACCTTTGGCGTGCTTCATCTTGATCGATCCTCCTCACCGTCTCTGATAGAGAGGATCGATTGCCTATGAAGTGTTACACTTTGGTCACAAAACGTATTGTTCATGGGGATGCTCACGCTGCAAATAAGGCAGACTATCTGTAGCATCTTCTGCGGATTCGCTGTGGGCGGGCATGGCGAACCGTGAGCAGCGGAATAGCACACACAGTAATTATGTTCCTGTGTTGGGTTCCATCTCAGAAGACACGAGGAGAGAGCAGAGTGTGGGAGGTGTGGGTGAGGGTGGCCGTCAAATACGGAAATGGATGAATAATGGCCCAAAGAATAATGGCCCCAAAACCGCAGATGCCCGAAAATCGGTGACTGCATGCTGCATGTGGCCGATCACCCTTGTGGATCGAGCCGGTCTAGTCGTCGTTCCCACCATATTTTTTTCACAATTTAGCAAACGAGAAGCATTCCTGAGTGGCCGGGTGTAAGAGACAAGAGACGAAGCCTTATCCCCGTTCACGGCTGATGAGGGGAGGGGGAAAACAGCAAGCTACCTAGGTAGGTACCGGTAGACGAGGAGGAAAGGCGTGTCTCGCTATTGGTTTGTCATTGACTCTCATCGGAGCCGAACCGCAAGACCCACTTGGTTTTCAAGGGCCGCTTATCCGGCCGCGGCGCGGCGATGTGCTTTCCCGCCGCATCCCCGGTGCTGCCCTTGTTGCCCCCTGCACAGAGGTCATTTGGGTTTGCGATAGCGCCATCGACTGCTGCGCTTCGTCACGACTCATAAGGTAGCGACAGCTATGCCGTCACCGGTAAGAAACGACGCCGCTAGTGGAATGCGCCGCTGCGTCTCAGGACTGGATCTACCTAGTAGGTATGCGTTGTTCAAAGATTGAGGTGCACACCCACCGCGGGGGCAGTTGAGTCGGCCGAAAGCGTCTACTCTTATCAGATCCCTTCGAGTTGCACCAACTTCTGCAGCGACGGAAAAACGTTCCCCCTCAGTGTTCATTGGCCACGATTTGATAAGATATTGACCGGTGTTTCTCTCAGGGTACGCGACCCGAAACGGCGATGCGATGCGTGACGACGTTGAATTTTGTTTCTCGATTGTACTTCTTCATGTCTCGAGGTTGATACTCTTTCCGAATCTGGCGTACAGTTCGACCTTGAGTTGGTTCATATCCTCCTTGATCGTTTCCAGCTTCGATTCTAACCCCTCGACATCCTCCTCGATCTTGGTCGATGCCTGCTCGAGCATCTCTATCGCTTGAGGTTGCGATACGTGGAAGTAAGCGTCGCCAATCTTGTATCTGTGGCCGAGCATCAGTATGGTCTTTCGGTGCGTCATCGAGAGTCCTTCGTAGGTGCGTACGGTACTGTTTCGTCTTCGTCCGCAAGCTCCAATTCTGTGCTGAGATCCTCGAGCTCTTCCTTTTCTTTCTGCAACGACACACAGATGTTAGATGGGGTTGCTTGTCGGTGATTGTATAAAGGTACGACTAACGCTCTTGTTCTTGAGTTCCTCTTCGATTATGAGTTCGCGCTGGTGCAGACGGCTGAACTTGTTGATCTTGTCTTGGTCCTCCCTCCTAACTTCGACCTCGTCGCCGACGGACTCCTCGTCCGCCTTGGTGAGCTGCAGATACGGTGTCAGTATAGACAGTAGACCATAAGGTGAAGGGTTAATACCATGCGCCGTGACAACATCTTGGTACTATGTGGTGCAACGTGATGCGTGGTGGGTTTGATGATGGTGTCGGTGACGGTGACAGCACTGGAGCTCCCAAAAAGCTCAGAAGGAGGGTCACAGTAATGCGCCACAGTGCGGAGGGGTCATGCACTGCCCCACTCTCGATTCTCGGGGGAAGTTCAATCAATGTCTCTCTCGCTGGTGGCCTGTGCCAAACACAACAAAAGCTCTGGGCTCCCCCACACCGGAACGTCACACCGAGCCGCGATAGCTTGCACGCGACACCTCAATCCTTCCCGCGACTTCAATCTCAACTACGTTTGGTCCTCGCCGCGGTGCACATTTTTCTCGCGATGGCACCCGGTCAAAAGGCATACCCGCGCGGTACTGTCAAAAAGATCATCAAAGCGCATTCGAACTGCAACTTGAGCAAGAATGTGGACGTCATGGTTAGTTGCTTACTGACGCGCCTGGCACGCCCTGCTGACCAGCCCTCAGATCTACCTCGACTACGTCCTGTTCATGCAGACGTAAGTTATTGACTCGAACATTGGGACGTATACATACTGACTTCTTACCAGACTCGTCAAGGAGGCGGCTATCGAGTCAAAGAAGTCTGGTGAAAGAGGCATCACGGCCCGAAGCGTCAAGAAAGTGACTTCGGTACGTTGTACAACCACATCAACAGCAAGTCTGATTACATGGTGAGGCTAACATTGGATTATGCAGGACACTCTCACCAAGTTCCGAGGTTGATTTTCCAGTTCATCGATATCGAAACTCCAGAAATTACTCGATACTTACGGAGTACACAGCACTCATCTACTTCGCGACCCGGGGCCGTCGATGCCATTAGCGTGGTCGAATACGCCCGAATGCGATTCCGTTGGTGTAACATGGCGACCAGCAACAACATATCATATCTGGTATAGAAGGGCTATGCAAAAGATGGAATCGACCTCGAGGTTTAGGCGCTGGTCTGCGACAGAACAGAGGCTCGATTCATGCAGGCTACCGTCTCGTGCATTGAGGCGGCACGCAAAGGTTGGAGGAGCAGGGCGCAGGTGTTCAGTGGCTCCTTCATCTGAGCAGCACCGGCCTGAGCCGCGTCAACGTTTGGATGACCACGACACTATGATCAATGGCGACATAGTATGTTTCCATGGATAGATTCTTTGCTATTGGTGGGTGCGGGTGGTGATGCTCGCGGCCTAGTCACTATGGGAGTCTGGCGCATGAGTACGGCGTACAGCTTACCGTATATCCATAGATAATTCCCGTGAGAGAGCGACGGCTAGTCCCAGACAAGGCTGAGATGCCCTGCCTGGTACGTCATCCGAGCAGGGAAGGCTAGGAGCACAAGGTACAGAAGATGGTGCCGCGAGATGTGGAACGATGAATTTCTATCACTCTTGCAAAAAAGCCCTAGAGCACCTTACTGAGATGTAATCAGGTTGGCAGGACAGCATGTAGGCGAGAAACATGACAGATAAAACATGCCAACCATTGAACCCGAAACATGCAGTCTCGAAGACCTGAGGCGCCTCCAACCTAAATGCTCCATGGGTCTCCCATCTCAGTACAAGTGAATGTACCTTTTCTTCTGACCAGTTCTAGAACCCCGGCGGGTAGGAGTGGAGGCAGGGGTTTTTAGGGGAAGGGAAGGGGAACTTAAGGCGAAAACCAGCCTGGCGGCAGGGATGCTTCCGGCTCCTCAGCTCCTGGGAACCCACTCCTAGGTTGGATCACCGCCTGAACGCCTGAAAACCCCCCACCGAAAAGGTACTCGACCCCGGGACCTCAGCTTCTCCCGGCCGACAGTGTCCCCTCCACTGAGCTGCACTCTGGCCCCGAGCTACGTGCCTGCCTGCCGTCTATGAGCTGGAGTGTCATCTTCCGTGAACCTCCAAATTTGATCCGTCCAAAACCTGCACATCCACCTCTTCACAATAACTTCACCTTTCCCCCCCATCACAAACGCCTCTCCTCTGAGTATTTTTCTTCGATCCTAGGACCTTCCTCCTACGATTGTACATCCCATCTTACCTCACTCTACACAAGTTTGTTTACTTGCCTCCCACCTGCGCGCTCTCTGCCTGTAGCTGGCCACCACCACCTCTGGAAAATTCCCATCCAAGCTCACGCGACCTCGACCCTGTTGACTGCGCTCCTCCCACAAGCTTCAGCATGGCCGCCTCTCCCGTTCAGAACCCCGCGGTCTCAGCCGAATCCAAGTCAGCCAAGAAGAAGAAGGCCAAGGCCGCCGAGCGCACCGAGTCCCCTGCTCCTACTGCCTCTCCTGCCCCAGAGAAGGCTGACGCCTCCGACGAGTCCGGCGAGACTGCCTACATTCGCGAGATCCAGAAGTAGGTGGAAATCAACGACTGAAGCTTCTCCTATTGCTCGTATGCTAATCGCGCTCCGTAGGAACATTCGCAACACCACCAAGAAGCTTGTCCGTGCCTACCCTATACCTTCACACTTACCCCTCTCTGTGGCAAGGTTCATCAACTAACTTCCCACCCACCAGACCAATGCCTCAAAGATCGACAACCTGATTGCCGAGAACGCTGGCAAGTCCCTCGACGACCTCGTCGCTGCTCGCATTATCAATGCCGACCAGAAGGCGCAGTACCTCAAGAAACCTGCCCTGCAGGCCCAGATCTCACAGTACGAGGAGCAGATGGCCCAGTACAAGAAGATCGACCAGGAGTACCGCACTCGTGCTACTGCTGAGAAGGCAGAGCTTGAGAAGTCCTTTGCCGAGAAGCTGGAGAAGGAGAAGGCCGCCGCCGTCGCCGAGGTGAAGGCTCAGCAGGCCCAGCAGGAGGGTGATTCTAGCAAGAGCATCAACAGCAAGCTCCTCACCCTGTCACAATTCCTTCGTCTCGCTGCCGCCCGCCGCTCCGAGGATGCCGACCAGAGCAACGAGGAGAACAAGGCCCTGGAGGGTGTTCTTCTCGCCATCTACACGGGTGACGACAGTGCCGTCGCCACCATGCTCAAGCTGATTGACGGCGCCGAAGAGCAGACGTACAGCGTCAATGGCGAGCTACTCGAGACAACCTGTAAGCTTTTTTCTCACATCTCGATAGTACATCCCATACTGACCTTTTATACCTAGTCGGCCAAGTCAAGGCAGCTGCCAAGGCCTACAAGTCTCCTTATGACGAGCTTGCGCCCGCCGAGACCGAGACCGCTGCGACCGAAGCCGTTACCGATCCGACCATTGCCAACGCTACCGTGAACGAGATCGAGGCTGGCGATGCTGCCATCACCAACAGCCAGACCGAGGAGGCGGCCACCGAGACCCCCACTAACGCCAACATCGGTAGTGGCGCCGGTAACGCCGCCGGCGAGAAGTGGGACCAGTCGGCCGACAACAGCATGTCGCTTTCTCAGGAATGGGTTTCCGTTCCCCGCGATCCTGCAGAGACCGAGACTGGCGTCGAGGCTACCCCCGCTGCCGTTTCCAACACCCAGTCTTGGGCCGATGACCAGCCCGAGCACCACGAGATCCAGCCCGAGGTACGTTCAAGTGAGCTGTGATGACTGAACGAGAGACTGACTGTACCTAGACCCCTGCTCCCGCTGCTGCCGACCCCAACGACGGCTTCCACCAGGTCCAGGGCCGCAACCGGGGCCGTGGCGATCGTGAGGGAGGCTACCGCGGACGTGGTCGTGGTGAGTGGCGCGGCGGTCGTGGACACCGTGGCGATGGCCGTGGCCGGGGAGGACGTGGCGGCCCTCGCGGCGGCTCCATCTCTCAGCGTGGACCCCGTCGGACTGAAGAGTCATAGAGACGCTCTGTCCAGCGGCGTTCTCTGGCCTCTCAGCGGTCATTGGGTAGGCTCAATTCCTACGCGGCGTCGCGCGTTACGCGACGGCGCATTACGACTGGGGCATGGCGACGCCCTTCGCAACGTGATTTACTACAATGGCTTTGATAGGTGTCAAGGCTGGTAAAGGAATGGATGGGTAAGGGATGTTGTTTAATGAACAATCAAGGCATTCGGATCCCCTGTTCTGGTTTCTGGGCGGTTGGCATGGCTGGCGGTGTTGGGTTGCGTGGCTTACGCTTGTACAATACACAGCATGACTTTCGGGGCCGGTATACAAAAAAACATACGGAATGAGACATTAATACCCAAAAATCATGAGACCCTACGAGTGCTCATCAGACAAAACTCATGATAACGATGTTAGAATATAATCCTTACCAAACAAAGACGCAATTGGGAACTGCACAACTACTCAAAGACCAATGAGGCCCTTGTCAGTTTGCTCTTGAGGCTTGACATACCATGGCAGGCCAACGAAGCCAAGGGTGTCACAGTATCATCCCATCGCTTTACTCAATTGACAGCTCGCTATTCGAAGCTACTCGAAATCTCGACGAGTGATGAGAAAGCACCTTTGGATACTCGGGCCCCTTGGGTGGGCTTCCACAACATGAGCAGCGGACGTATCTCTCGTCTCTGAAGGCTGGAAACAAGCGTAAATGTGGCCAAGTGCAACGCTGAGCTTTATTTACTTGATAGCTTAGTATTAGAGCTATGAATCCACTCAGTAAGGTCGTCTATTATATGGCATGTCAAAACATGTAAACTGAAGTACAGTATCTCTTTTTTCTTTCTTAGAATACCAAGGAGGGAATTCGCATGTTGTTAGACACCTGGTACCTTGACAGTCTTCCTATTATTACACTTGAAAATGATAAGAACTCCTAAGCGTAGAATAACCTCAAAAATGCTCTCATCGACTCATCCTTCCCCATCTCATCGGATTTCGCAGCTAGTCGCATATTAGCCAACGTTGAGACTGGCGAGGAATTTGCCGGCATCGTACGTATCAATCCCACTTCGTCACTGACCGTACATCAAGCCGTTACTCGGCATATGGGGTTTCTGGGACTGGTGACAGACGTGCTGGGACTCGTACGGCTCGAGGCAGCGGGCACATAGGCGCCGGGTGAGAGATGCAGACAGGTTTGAAGTGTAAGAGGGAAGGAATGAGTTGCAGTCCATGTTGATGTGCATGTGGTGTTGCTTGGCCGAGATGCGGTGCGCTGATATCAATCCTCGAGATTGGAGGAAATATGCAAGAAGGATTTCTGTGCTTCTTTTGTTTCCTCTTGACTACTTATGTACGTGTACCTACATGATGATCTTGTGTAGAGCCGCTTCAGCCGATGATACACACCTAGTTTTGGTCCGTGATCGTCATGTCAGCAAACTCTCCCCTTCCCCACAACGCCTGGTAAGGCTGCCGGTGCCGAGAGTTTGGAGAGGTCGGAGTGGAGACCGCGATGCTGTTAAGCATACCGACATTCTCACCTGGCTCCAGGCAGAAACGGAAAGGGTGGAGTGCCCGTTGCCTCACCGTTCCCATTGATGCTGACTCTGGAGGCGCATCTTACTCACAACTTACAAGGCGAACCAAAGGTGACCGGCGCCTTAATGCATTGGTTGTGGGGGGTGCTTATGCATCTCGGGACCGCCAGAGATAGGTAGGGGGACAGGGGAGGGGATGAGCGGCCCTCACGTAATCACAGATGAGGAGAATCAGGCTCGATGGCGATGAACGGAGGCTTGATTGGGGGTCAGGTTTTGGACATCATTGACGTTGAGACTCGGTGGTGTTGTGGCCGAGAATGAGCTCAAGACTGTGATGGCCCCAATTAGATCGGGCTATGAACATCATGGGTGTCCAATTTGGAACGCATCACCGACTATTAATCACCACGTACTTGACTCGGAACAAACGGATTGAACCAGAAAAAGAGGTCACTTATACGGTGCCCTTGTCTGTATTAGATGTGTATGTACTCATAAGCCCTCACAAAACTCCTAGACGCTTGATTTCCAAAAAACCTCATTATCAAAAAGACAATCACGCACGGCACATGCGGCCATCAGCAGCAACATTCCACTTGTCGCTACCGACCGTCTTGAGCGCGTAAAACACGCCCGAGGGGTCCCACTTGGTCTTGATGGTGAGCAACTTGTCATAGTTGCCGCCAAAGAACTTCTCCTTCCAGTCGGGGATGTTGAAGTCGGCCTCGTTGACGTAGTTTCCGGACCCGGGCGTCGCGGCCTCGATGGGCGGGATGATTTCTTCCGTCATGGTCTTCTGGTCCGCCTTCATCTTCTCCCAGTCGGCCGGGTCGTTGCTCCACGCCGTCGAGTACTGCACGTGGATGGCGGCCTTGCGGAAGTGCGGGTTCACGGCGTTGTCGACGCCCGCGGGCGCCGTGGCGTTGAGGGCCACGCCGGCGGAGAGGACGCCGTGGTTGTCAGCGCCGTAGCGGATGGCTGAGACGTAGGCCGCGCGGGCGGTGGTGTCTGTTAGGACGGAGCGAGGCACGAGGCGGGAGCCAAAGTTGTAGGACTCGACCTCGACGTGGCCGTAGGGGAGGGGACCCATCCACTTGTCGTAGTGGTCGCGGTAGCTCGAGTAGTTTGTGGCGGCGGAAGAGTAGGGGATGGAGAGGTTGGCGAGGACGTCGAGGAAGGGCTGGAGGATGGTCTTTGCCTCCTCGGCCGTCTTGTTGTAAGCCGTGAGAGGGTTGATGGCGAAGACGCTGCTGCTGTAGAGGAAGACGACCATGGCGCCCTGGTCGGTCATGCCGGGGAGGAGGGAGTGGAAGGCGTCGAGCATCTGCCACCACTTCTCTTGGGTGGTGTACGAAGCAGCAGTCTGGAGACCAACGCCGCCGATGGTGGCGTCGGGGTATGCGCGGACGGTGACGGCGGTAACGACGCCGAAGGTTCCGGGGCCGCCGCCACTGAGGGCCCAGAAGAGGTCCGCGTTCTCCGTGCGGGAGGCGGTGACGATCTTGCCGTCAGCGGTGACGACCTCGTACTCGAGCGCCTGGTCGGCGGCCATACCAAAGTTGGTGGTGAGGGCCGAATGGCCACCGCCCTGGATGTAGCCTCCGGCGGGACCGACGGTGGGACATTCGCCGCCGACGACGACGAGGCCGGCGGTCTTGCCGGCCTCGGTGAGTTCATAGCCGAGAACGCCGGCGCCCATCTTGATTGCGGGGCCGGACCAGAGGTCATCGGACCAAGTGGTCACGGTGATCTCCTTGAGTTTGTGGGTCCATGCCGCGAGGGCTCCGGCACCGGTTGAGCGGCCAAGATGGCTGAGTCGTTGGTTAGCGATAATGCTTTGTGGGCGGGATGGCGCTTATAGGTGCGGATGAGACTTACTCATGACCCGTGTTGCGGACGAGGAATCTGATGTTGTTCTCCCGCGCAAAGTTGATGGTCTCGACAACATCTTGGGCAGATGTCACCTCGACAGCATAGTTGACGTAGTTTCCGAGCAGACACGGAAGCGTGCGATCCGTGAAGGGGTCGCAGGACTGGTTGGCGAAGTAGCTCTGCATCACGGAAGAGGAGGAGGGGAAGCTGGGGGGTTTGTTAGTCGATATTCCGCATAACTTGAGAGATCAAGTATGAGCTTACTGAGTCTCGGGAAGAGTCCACGAGTTTTGCAGCGCCGTGCAGGCAGCCTCATCGTAGTTGGGGTCGTGACACACGGAGCCAATGGGCACGGTGGCGATGAGCTTGCCGCTGACAGTGGTGTTGAGGGTATCCCAAGCCGTCGTGGCGGGCCAGCTGGCGTCGCCGGGGAGGGAGCGGCACGTAGCATTCTCGACGCGCTTGGGGAGAAGGCCCGCGGCAGCGAAGGGCGCGGCGGCCAGGGTCGCCGTTGCGATGACGGCGGAGGACTTCATCTTGACAGGGCTGAAGAGAGAAAGGAGCGGAACGGAGGAAAGTCTTGGAGCCTTGAGGAAGGGGACGGGAAGGGGATGGCCGACCCGAGGGGGATATTAAAGAATGACTAGGCTGCAGGGAAGACTCCTGACGAGTTCATCAAGTGGGAGGGCCATGATGGAGAGTCTTTATATTGAGGAGAAGCAAACTGCATTGGAGAATCGAGAGACAGGTCGTGAATGACCAGGGATCTGTTTACGGCGCGACGGCGAGCTTTCCTGGCCCTGCTAGGCGGGCTGTGTTGCTTGAGGCATGGTGCTTGAACATGGTGCTTGAGGCATGGGGGCGGGTAATGGATGTCAATCTCCCTTCTACTGGGTAGTGTGTGAGGAGCAGCGTGAGTGTGTGTCGAGAGTCGAGGAGTCGAGAGTTCTCCTCCCACGACACGCCTGGGGCCCGTTGCTGGGATTATCCCCCTTTGGGCAGCATGCTCCGGGATAGTGTGGTGGCTACGGGGTAGATGCGGAGCCCCCCCTTCAGCCTTTGCTCTCTCTTTTGCCCTCTCTTTCGCAGAGTCTCTCACAGACTCACACACACTCTCTCCTTGATTCCATGAGGCTTGAAGCGAGGCATGGACCAGGGCAGTTGTGTGCCATCCACACCTTGCACTTACTTCTCGTCCGCTCTTCTGCTTTGACCACGGGGATCGACACGAGGTTCTGTTGCGTAGGACAAGAAGAATTGGCACCCGTCCGGGAGTCCTCCGAAGCCGAAGAAAGAAGACGGGGGCTTAGATGTCAGAAGAGGGAAATGAGACGTGCGTAATCTGTCGTTCGATTGCGGCAGGCTTCTGGAAGGGGATGTGGAAGAAAGTTGACGAAGTATTGACTTTTGCATGAAATTCGAATCTCGCAAACTGCCGGGGGTGCTGGTCAAAGCGGCTGGAATGGGATGAACAAACAGGATGACAGCACAAACCGCTTACTCTGGCACTTCTCAACTCTACACACAAACTCAGTGTGAATGCGAAGTGATTGCGACCGAGTGCGAGGAACCTAATCAACGGGTCAACGTATCCGTATGGGCCTCACCCCCCTGTTGGCGCTAGGTGTTGTGAACTCGTGGAGTTTGCCTCGGCCCCGATGATCAGTGTTCCCCTACTGGACCAGTCGAGGTCCGACGGAGAACCCAAGAAGCCCCTGTATTTCCCCTTGATCTGGGATCCTTCGCACCTGCAATCCGGGTCTCCATGCCCTTTTGCGCGTGCTCGCTCTCTCTGTTCCTGCAGCACAGGCCCTGATGCCGGTTCCGTTACTACATCACTGGCGGACAATTGGACGATGGGGGCCGTCGCGTGTCCTTGACGTTGTGTGGAAGTTGGGATCAACGGGAAGGGCTGATGGGACCTGTTCTTTTTCTGCCCTACGCTGATTGAGTACGGATGAACGCCCGCTGATTCGTATAAACACTGACACGAATGAAATTTTGGTGGTGTCTGTGTTGACTTGACTCGCTAGGTTGAGAACGCCGTCTATTTTGAGTTGAAAGAACAAAGCGTCAGCTAAGACATGCATACATAGCACGCGCTCCGAGTGTGCCAGTGTGGGGGACTGACGGCATTCATCGATCAAGAAATCTCTTGTCGTCTTTCCTTCTTTTTACAATGGTTGGATGGACTTGTTCCCTCTTTGGGCAAAGGCAGACACACCATTGTGCGAAAACCAACAACAACCGAGTTCCAACAAACTAAATAAGATCGAATCTGCCGGAGCAGAAAACAATAGTTTGCCGCCTCTCCCGTGAGGAACCACGCCACACAACCGCATGAGGTAGCAAACACAGAAACGCCGTTACGGCAGCCATTCGTTTTTGTCTAAAACGCTATTTCTCCGTGGTGTCCGCTCAATAGCATCAGCCACTAGCGCCGCCGTTGTGTTTCTCATCAGGATTTAGGTGCGGCGTTTGTGGCCAGTTCAAGCTTCTCAACGGCCCTCTCCCGCGAAGACCAAAGTTTAGTTCTCTTAGCCAGACCGTCCCACCGTTCCAAGGGGGCCCGCGATGTCACTCACTAGCCTCGGAGACAAAGGACGGAAAAGACGCAAAGGTAAGGGGGGTATTTTGGCAGGCTGGCACGTTGTGCCAACGTCGCATGTGGCGACATCGAACCATGCGCCCATAAAACTTCGGCGATATATTCCAAAGAAGTCTCTGATGTAGGTCGTCGAGTCCAACATCCAACGTCCAACAGCCCCGCAAAGGCTCAGTGAGAGGGGGCAGGCAGTTGGGGGGATCCAACCGCAACCCTATGCGAAGCAGCGAATCTCTTAGCTTCGGAAGAGTGCCGAACCTGGCATCTTCCCGCTGCGCCTCTGAACGTTGCAGAAGAACAACAGCCAGCATGCCAGCAGCTCGAACCCAGTCTTACCTCTCTTCTTTTTTTCTCTTTCGGCGTTTGTGTTTGCTTACGGAATACCAATACCTTGCTTGCCATCACGCCAACATGTTCTGCAATTCCACTTTGGCGCCAACACGTGCTGGTGCCAACGGGGTGAGGCGCCGGGAGGCGAACCGGTGGATTCGGATGGGGATGTCTGCGCCGGGATCATCTCGGGGATCAAGTCTTCTTTCGAAGCTCGTGCGCAACGTTAGTTTGCTGGAGTCTTCAAAAGACAATAGAGGAGTAGTATAGACTAGTACGGGGAGAGCCTAGGAGGCTGACGCAACTTCCTCCCATGTCTATCCGTACATGTGTCTATATTCCGATGGTGGAGGCCTTTTTATCTATGGATACGTCCTATGCTCCTTTTGCTCTGTTCTTCTGTCTCCTTCGGGAAGGAAGATGTGCGGCTCTGCCTATTGTCGTCCTCCTCAATCCGTATCTTGCAGCTATTGTCCGTCGCCATGGCCCGGGTCTATCGGTGTTTGCCAAGTCTCTAGACTGTGTTGCATTGCAGGACAATCCACAGATCCCGGAGAGGCCTGGCGGTGGCAATCATTCTCACGTGGACAAATCTCCAGATTCCGAGGTCGTGTTCACTGAATGCTACTTTGAGGAATACGCGGTCCACGACCGAGTAGGCTAGCGCGCCACCGACTCGGAGAGATACATAACGGCTGAGGCTTATCACGATGCCGCTGCCGGCTGTCGGCTGTCACCGTTTACTTGGGCAGGGTCGGCCGCCGGCAGAGAGTTTGTCCCCGGCGACTAGACCCCAATTCAGATGTGGTTGCCGGTGGATGAACCCTGAGAACGTCTCAGGTACGTCTTCGCTGTCGGTGAACTGCCATGTCCGAATGGAAACGATATGCCGGACTCGGGACTCAGTGTATGTTTTCTCTTGCGGCATTAAACATTTGCAAAGGAGGCGCAGAGTGGTTTGAGAGTTAGGGATAGACTTGGCGTGAGTTTTATTGAAAACACAGTGGTTCCCAGGCACTGCCTGGAGTTTAAGTGAGTCTAGACATGCCGTTTCTTTATATCTATCTTCTGTTTTATTCATTAGGACTTGAGACAGTGGACGATGAGCAGCCGGGGTCCTCCTGATGCACGAGGAATACTGGGGGATAATACGCACTCATTGCCTGAATCACTGGATACCCAGCAGCCCGCCTCCGCAGACCTTATGAGGAGTCTACTGTCATCCCATTCTAACAACAAGTATCGAGTCTGATAACCGAGGGATGAATGTCGTGAAGTCTTGTTTAGTCCGTGATGTTCCGGTGCTATTTGGGCTCCGGTGTTTGACCCTCGGTCGGCTCCTGTTGTTTTTGAGTTTTTGAATTCTGTCAAGATGTCCAATCGAACCTCTCCTGTTGCGTGAAGCACTTAAGGTAACGTGGTAGATTCTCGTCAGTAGCTAAATGTCACTCATCACATGATGAGCTGGTTGTATGTAGCAGTCGCTTGGCAAAGTCGTGCTCGGCACGGACAATGCTACCCAAGGCAAGGTAAGGGGATTCTGAAGATCGTGACACACTTGGCGGCGGGTGCCTCTGCAACGCTACCTCATCTTTGCCATTTGCGGGGTTGAACGCATCTCATTGAACGCCCAGCATTCTCCGTTCTCGTCCCAAATGACTTCTTCAGATTCTTCCACGATGAAAGGAGAGAAATCATTGATGGATACTCAAACGAGATCAGGATAAGCGAGACTCGAGGGCTTATGAGAATTCGTATACGACTCCTTCTAAATACTCCTCAGCCACATGCCTCTAGATCCTCTAGTGACAGGAGGACAAGAGAACTGACCCCAGTACCTCACTCCTTCTTTCCAGGCCATCCATTACTGTACCTCCCGATCCTTCCCGCACGGATTCAGATCGACATGAAGACTTCCTGCTTCCAAAAATGTCTTGCGATCGCTTGCCTGTGAGTGCAAGGGGCTTCTGTTCGGGTACGTGTTTGTGCAGCCTGCGTGCCGTGCCGCTCATTGCCAAGTCCCTTTCCCACAACCCTACCTACACCTGATACTCCCAACGATCTAGGGAAGACTTGCTCCTAGGCCACTAACTTGCCGACGCATTTGCACAAGACCAGCAGACGTAGAAACGTGCATCCGGGTATTCATGGTCTTTTCCACGAAAAGCAACTTATCAAGCGCCACCATGGATTAGAAAGATTCGTAGAAACATGAAAAGTTGTATGCTTGCTCATCAAATTGGCTTCATTAACGATTTCAAATAAAGGCCACAAAAGGCGACCCAAGAACACGCCCACTCGAATCAATTTTGACGCCTTCTTTCCTCAAAAGCATCCTCTTCTCATCAAGCGTGATCCCCTCCCCGTTCTTCGGCCACTTGCCCTTGAACCCGCCCAAAGCACCGCCCGTAGCAACGACCCGGTGACACGGCACCTGCGGCGCGAAAGGATTCCGACGCAGCGCGTTGCCGACGGCCCTCGGCGACGACTTGAGATGCGCCGCCAGAATGCCGTACGTCGTGATCTGACCCTTTGGTACTTGGCACAGCGCGGTCCACACCCGTTTCTCGTACGCGGTGCGATTTGAGCGAGCGATGCGGTCTAGTTGTGTCTTCATGCCTTCGCCTTCTGGGATGGATATTGAGATGATGTCGCGCGTCGCGGGCGTCTTCTTGGTGGTGGTGGTTGTGGTGGTGGTTGTCATGGCGATGGTGTAAGTGTGAGATGAGTGAGAGGGTGTTGCTGAAGGCGTCGTGAATTTTCAGTTTTTGCTTCTTTTTTAGAAGATTATTGCAGAGTGACGAGGAAATATTCCTGAGAAACAAGAAGTGATAGGAATCGAGGCAATAAGACGCGTGTGGGATTGTCTTTCTGAGTCAACGGCGAAGGTTGGGTCAAATGTCAAGACAAGGGCGCGTGACAAGCGCGACGGTCCAAGCGGGGACATTTGACGCGAACTCGCGGGGTCATGTGACCTGACACTTAACCAAGGGTGAAGCACAACTTCAACATCGGATGTCAGACAACCAAGCAAAGGTGACACAACATACGTCCGTAGCGGGCTTTACTTGACGCTTTAAAGGACAAAAACTTCAAAATCCAATTGATTTGCTCTGAGGCAGTGGGCAAAGACCAAAGTACAGGTGACGGCAAAAAAGAGTTCACCCCCCGGGTGCTGATACTGGGGCTACATCTCTTGGTGCTCATGCTGGGATTCGAACTCGTGTAATCGTCTGCGCTTAGCCTGTCGTCGAGTAGGCTGGTTGATGTAGAATTTAATTGTCGATTCACCATAAACCATTCCACCACCCAGCCAGTTTGACCTGACCCATCGACCTAGACGGGCGCCTCCTGGCTGGTGACAGGAATGGACTTGGAGGGGTATATAAAGGCTCTACTGCCGATCAGATGAAATTTTGGGTGCGTATTCGTGGACCTTGAGGGATGATACATTGAGCTCTCGAGCAATGATCTTATGTGGATTTTGCATACCATAGTATTTGTACGGGTATCGGTGACATCTAGACTTTCCAGACCTGATTCCATAGTGTACTCTTTCCCCCCAAAACGCCAGAATAAGGTAATCCAATCGTTACAAAGCTGTGATTGTGACCATACCATCGCACGCTTCAACGAGTCCTCCGCAGCAAGAGACCATCCAACGCCCCCCCCCCCCCCCCCCCCCCCCCCCCCCCCCCCCACCCCCATCCACCCCCCAAAACTCCCCACCCACCCCCCCCTCCAACACACACTCCCCCTCAACACATTGCCCCCACCCCCCCCCCCCCCCCCCCCCGCATCCATAACCCGAGTCTCTTAATCACCAGTATCAACCTCAAGATCCAGCTGCACACCGTTGCTGACACCATAATCCTCCAGCGTAAGATTGTCCTTGAACGGCCGCTCGCCCTGACGCTTCAGCAAGATCTCGTGCGGCTCCCGTCCGACCCGTTGCGCCACCATAATCTTGAACATCTTGACCGGGTCCGAGGCCAGACAGGGGATCGCGGCCTTGGTACCGAGGCGGTCGTTGACGTGCACGATAATCATCTCCTCGCCGCCGCCCGCAGCCGGCGCGGGTGCAGACTTTTCCTTCTTGGGCTTCGTCGGCGCATCCTTCGAGCTTGAGGCGCTGGCGGTGGGTTTGTTGTCTCTGTCTCTGTCTCTGTCTCTATCTCTATCTCTGCCCGAGTCGCGGGGTCTGTAGTTGTCGTCTCCGCCGCCGCGGCGGTCGTTGCGGCGATCTCTGTCCGAGTCGCGATCGCGGTCGCGACGGGGGGAGCGGGAACGGTTGCGGTAGCCTCGTTCCAGGCCTCTTCGTTCGTTACCGTCGTCGCGGTCGTCTCTGCGGCTCTTGTCTTTCCATCTGAAACCGCCTTGTTTCCGTGGTCTATCTCTGTCTCTGTCTCGATCACGCCGAGGCGAGCGCGATCTTGATCGTGCTCTGTCGGCCATCTCGAGTGGGTTGGTGGGTGGTTGATGGTGGAAGGTTGAAACTGCGAAACCGCAGCGGGAGCTCAGCTTGGTGCCGTGAACTGTGACCTCGCCGCTGGCTCCACCAGGTGCGGCGGGTCAGAATGGCCGCCCCGCAGAAATGATTGGATTACATAAGCCGGAAGACCTTCTTCCTCGAAGCTTCATGGGCGTCTTTTCATCATCATCGAGGAAATCAAGGCACTTGAAATACTCTGCTTTGTATGTATGATTATTGTGAAGTTTTTTATGCCTGGGGAATTTCGACTTCTTGTATTCAGAGTCTATTCTATAGTTTGTAATGCAACCACCTAGTCCCTTTACTCGTCTAGGGCATTGGAGGAAATAGCCGTCACAAGCCTGTTTGACAGACTCTCCAGCATGTCGGTGCCTTGTGAGGATGCCTCAATCTTTGATTCCTCGATTGACTCAAGAATCGTCTTGATGCCAAGACCGATCTTGTCCGACCGAGTGTCATTGCGTATGGACTGGATGACGGTCTGAATGTCGTTGCCACCAAACATTCCTGACTGGTCCAGGACTTGGGCAAGTTCGCGTACATCAGAGATGGCGGGTACCGGAATCTGTCTGCGGAAGTGCTTAAGAACACCCAAGTTGCTGAGTACGAAGCGTTCTGAGGTGGTGACCATGATGAGGATACGACGGCCCTACATTGAGTTAGTAACGATTGATCCATCTAAAAGTAGATGAGCAAGAAGAACTGAAACTGACCTTTGGTGGCTGGGTTTGGATGAGGGAAATGAGTCTGTCGAGCACCGTGTTGGAGAAGCGTGGCCCAATTGGGTTCCACTCAATGAGTTGCTCAAAGTTATCCAAAATTACGATGCTACGCTCAGACTTGTAAGCGTCGGTGAAAACCTTGGTGAGGTAGTCCTTCTTTCCAAACTCGTCTCGGAAAGCAGTCAAGTGCTGAGGCGAAATGAGCTTAACAAAGGGGAAGTCTGAAAGGGAGGCGGTGTGGGCGGCCAAAGCAGTCTTGCCTGACTCCGGGGGCCCGTGAAGAAGGACTGGTATCCTGTTGAGAACATCTGACTCCTTGACTGTGTCGATGTAGCCCTGCATCGTGCGGATAATGGCGGGGATGTTGTTGTTGAACTGGAGGATTCCCATGCCAAGGGCAAACGCCAGCTCGTCTTCAGAAACACCATAAGCCGGCTTGACCTCGGTCAGTGCGTTGTCGAAATCGTCCATGGTGATCTTCATCGCGGATACATCATTCTTCATCTTGGCGCTGTTGCCGACCTCAGTGTGACGGTTGAAGGCGAATGAAGTTGCAGCCTTGACGACACCAGAGATCTCGGCACCAGAGTAGTTCTTGGTGCGAGCTGCCAGTGAGGCCAGGTCAACCTTGGAATCCATAATGTTGTTGTCTCGCATCTTGGCAGTGTGAATCATGAAGATTTCCTTGCGTCCCTCTTCGTTGGGCAAGCTAATCTCCAACTGAACCTCCAAACGACCGGGACGCAGAAGCGCCTCATCGATCATGTCTTTACGGTTGGTCATACCGATGAGCAGGATGTTGTTAAGCTGGTCAACACCGTCGAGCTTGGTGAGAAGCTGGTTAACAACACTGTCACCAACACCAGTGCCGCCACCGGCACCGGAGCCTCTTTGCTTGCAGACAGCATCCAACTCATCGAAAATGATAATATGAAGACCACTCTGGTCGCCCTTCTCCTTATACTCCTTCTCAGCATCCGCAAACATCTTTCGAATGTTCTCTTCAGATTGACCGACAAACTTGTTGAGAACCTCAGGACCGTTGATAATCTTGGGCTCACGAGCGTTGAGCATCTTTCCGATTTGTCTAGCGATAAGCGTCTTTCCGGTTCCAGGGGGGCCAAAGAGCAGGATACCCTTGACGTGCTGAATACCCAGCTTCGCTACCAGCTGGGGAGGGAAGACGCGAGAAGCAAAAGCTCTGCGGAAAATGGTGGCGAATTCGTCCTGGAGACCACCAATACCCATATCCTCAAACTTGAAGTCTGGGGAGATAATGGGGTTGGCGTTACCCTGGTGCTCACCGACCTGAAGCTTCATATCCGACTCGGCGCCCTTGAAGAATGACAATAGCGTGTTCGTGCTGAAGAATCCGCGGGCAGAAGGGTCTGATGATGTGACGACGGCGTCGGGACCTTTGCCTCCAGCAAAAGTGATGGTCTTGACGGTAGCAAAGATCTTGAGACCTTCAATGTCCAGCAGAGTGCGCTGACCGGGGGCGAAGAAGTGCATCTGGAAGAAACGCTCAAAGACCTTGGCCAGGTATTCGTGCTTGAACTCGTAGTTGGGGTCTCTCTTCATTGAGGCCCAGGACAGCTCGAGGTCCATCGCCTCGAGGTGAGTTGCGCCTTGCCTGTTCGCATCGTACACCTCACCCTCGAAGGTGTCGGTCATTCCGATCTTCAGCCATGATCGTTGAGGGTCGGACAGACTGATGGTGCCCTCGGGGAGTTCGGGTGTTGGCCGCGCTCTGACAACGTTCTCTCGTACTGTTCCTCGGACAGGGTCTCTGGCTCGAATCAGGATGTTGATGTCCTGGCCGTCGCGGCTCGGGGCGAAGTCTCGGTAGCTGACACCTGCGCTGGGAGGGGAAGGGTTAGCAGCGGAAGAGAAGAGGGACTGCGTGTTCGAAAGATGCTTACACGTTGGCATAAATAAGCTGGGTCTGCAAGGCCTTGTCCCTGACTTTCTCGATCCTCAGCCGCACACCGGGCTGTCTCGGCGACTGCGGCTGGCCGCGGGGGAGCGGCTTCTCGGGGAAGCTCATATCTGAGGCGCTCGGTCGGTGTGGCAGAAACGATGGGATCGCTTGGTTGTGAGGTTGGTTACGATTTCGTACGGCCGGGTTGTTCTGGTTTCTTGTTCTTGAGATGTGTTGAGGAAGACGGTGAGGATGACGGAGGGGAGGTTATGTACACTAATGGTAGGTGGAATGGTGCATGTTGGAGGGGCTGCGCGGCTTCGTCTTCGCTTCAAGTCCCCTGGGCCCGGGGAGCGCTAAACCTTGTTTGGGCCAAATGGACACAAGGCGAAGCAGGTACGTATCGAGGGGACCCTTACCTTACCCTTGCTGCAGCGAATGGCATGGAAGATGCTCTGATGCTTATGTGGATCTCACCCGTGGTTTGTAACCGTGTTCAGTCTGTTTCAACTCTGGCCAGTTTGAGGATCCAGATGTCTTCTTTGCAGAAGCGTTGCTGCCTGCGCAAC